GGAGACTCTGCGAGAGGAAGGAGTCGTTCCGCTGCGAGCCCATTCCCCAAGCCACAAGCTCGCCGGAGATCAGCTGAGGGACAATCTGTTGGCACCCCGGCGGGGGGAGGGGCGGAAATGGCCCTCGAGGGAAGGGAGGTACGACACGGACACCACCTTGGAACCGAATTGGATGGGGGGATGAATTTGGTGTGGGGCGCCCGTGGACCCCTGAGATAACCTCGGTGAGGCCTGGCACCCGCACACTCTTGTGTGCACGAGGTCCCTCCAGGGCCCACCTGCAGGGGTCTCTGGAGAGGAAGGGGACACGTGGATCCTTAACCCATCATTGCATCATTACCAACCTGAAGGGGACAGAAGCATAGCAGCCCACGGTGCTCTCCTAGACACCACATTCCCGGCCTTTAAACGGGCTAGTTGATCCTGGTGTGGTCCGCGCGCATCCCAAGCCGCGTGCCACACTAACCACTCATCACCACCGGCATTCCCAGGAAATCCGTGGAGATGAAGTTCTAGGAAGCGTGGCATGGCCCTTGACGCCACCTAGGAATATGCGCATTGTGCGGGGCTGACCCGGCGGGGCGCAGCGCTCCTAAGTGGGGTGGGCATAAAACTTCCACTGGCCGCGACCGGTTCGCGTTCTAGAATTTGCCAGACTGAGTATCAACTTGCAGCGAGGAATTAAGTGTAAAGTTGGTAGGCTGCCCTCGGTTTTCTAGTTAACATCAGTTTTGACAATCCGCGTTCTTTATACATTTTACTCCCGTGCAGGGGGCTCCATCACTCGTGCCCCAAAAGCGCCGGGGCGATGGGTAGGACTGAGGAGCAGGAAGCATTTCGATTCCTCTATTGCTGAGAAGCATAATCATATCCCTCCTCTTTTCTTCCCTTTCTGCAGGTTTCGACTTGAATCTGAAAAAACCTCCGATGCCCATTTTTCACTAGAGGACACTCGGAGGGGGCAGGGACTCCACATAAACTGCTGCGTGCGCATCTAGCAGGACAGACTGGATAAAACGTGTCCAGTTTACATCACATATCTGTGCAAATGCAGGAGCCTGCGGATGCGCCGGGCTGGCTGGTCATACTTAAGTGTGTAGACACACGGGCGCATGCACACGCACGCGCGCGCGTTCACACAAGCACACCCAAAATTACCTCCGGGATGGAGAAAGCCGCTGCGGATTGGCCAGCAGAGCCGTCACTCACACCCAAGGGGCAGGGAGACTTTGGAAAGCAGTTTCTTTTTTTCTCTATCCTCTCTGCCGTTTCATATAATTGTAAAACAACGCCAGAGCTCTGAAAGTTAGCCACCTACGCGGAAAGAGTTTGGTTTCTTAACGGGGGGCGGATGGGGGGGGCGTCAGACGATACCTATTTAAATATATCTTGTACGTCCACAATGGACGCAAAGGGAAATTAGCAGCCGTGTGAGGGAGCTCGAGTAGGGAGGAGGGGGATCATCCGGGAGGGGTAGAGTCGTTCTCAACACGCAAAGGAGACTTTGACCTTACACTGATTTTGAAATCAGAAAATGTTTATCACAGCTCAGATCATAAACGTTCGTCCCTAATTTTTGAACTCATTATTCTCATTTTATTTAAGCATGCGCTAGCAATCATGCTTCCTTAAGAAAGAACTGACCTATTTTTGGCTGGAGATAAACGACCATGTTAACAGATGTTAATCTTGTAATCTGTTTTTCCTGTAAGCACTTTACATACCAGGGCTTCAGACCTTAAAAATATCTTTTCCAAAAAGACCTGACGTCACAATTAACTCCATGAAAAAAAATCACACACCCCCCTCCAGTTTTCTTTCCTTGCAATGATTTCAAAGACATTAAATCTTTTTCACTTTATAAATGCTGATTTGTTCTGCCTCAACTCCCACAGGCTTTTATTTGCATTTCAAATTCCACAGGTTACACCAGTCGCCTTTTCAAAAAATGTAAACCAACAATGAGGCAGCAAATGGCTTTTTGTGCATTTGGATTAAATAAGGCACAGAATGAATATATTTAAAAAGAGGGCTGAGTAAATTGATGTCTGCACACCCGGAGACCAAGTGACTCTTTATCAGTAATCCAGTGGAATGAGTAAGATACAAACACAGCCCCAGAGCTCCCGGGCTGATCTGGTCGGCTGCGGAAACCTTATTAACGCTGGTTATAAATGAGGCTGACTTACAGACCCACCTTTTTCGGGTAAAAAGCCAATTCTTTTGGGTCTCTAATTGCAGGGATCCACTGGCTTCCTGGCTCACAGTGTCTGACCATCACCACACTCCAACCTTCCTTCATAAACCTCTGGTTTAAATACCCTACTCGACTGGCTTTTAAACTTATTCATACAAAGTTTCTTTATAACTTGACAAGGCGGCTTAATCTAAATATTGATCGTAACTATTCAGTTTGTTAGCTCTCCCTAGAAATGGCAGGAGGCACCTTTCCAACCCCCACCCCCGCCAGTACACACCCCACTGCATTCTTCTTTTATACACTCGTGTGTGTGTGTGTGTGTGTGTGTAATGTATATACACATGCGTGTATCGCCATCAATACCTCCCCCACCCCAATCCTGCTCTGACCTCAGCAAGACTGGATGCATCTCGGAGGAGTCGCTGCCATCCAGACCCGCACCCCTCTCCGAGTCACTAAAAGAATCTCGCCCCCGCCCCCACCCTTACCCCGCCCGAACTTCCCTTCCCAAAGCTCTCACTTCTTTAATGTTAGGGCCACTCTAAAGCTCCTGGCTGATGGGCAGTCACCCTGGGAGGGGGCATCAAAGACCACCCCCCCATATACACGCAAACTCGTCCCCTAAGCAGCAGCGCGCGGGAGCCCACAGGCATCGATCCCATCCGCCAAACCCTTAATAATTGAAGCGGCTCCTCGGGACCCGCAGCCCATCACCCACCTTCATTAGCCGGAGCGTTTTACTTTAAAGTAAGGCAATTTGCTCTTTGTCTCCTAATGGATGGAAAGCGCAACCGAGCTCCCCTCCTCCCGCGTCGCCTTTGACGAAGTGTACAAAGCCAGAGCCTCTAACGCGCTCCCACCCGGGCCCCCACCCCGCCCCTCCACTGCGGTAAAAAGCCACCTCTGGGGCGCCCGCCCCGCCGCCCGAAGTTGCATCTTACCCTCTCCTGGAATTGCGGTGCAGAGCAACTACCAACAGGGAAAGCCAAGTCGCCCTCCCCGCACCCAGGGAGCCCCTCTCCGGTGTGCCCCCGCCCCA